TCATCAGGTGTATACTGCGTTTGATCCACATACTTACATGTCGAATAATTGCAGAGTATTCTAGACGAGGTTATTTTTCAATATAAGTGTGTGGATCAAACGCAGTATACACCTGATGATTAGTAGTTATCGGTAGGATCTGCTCTTTCCTCAGAGTCCAGAACTTCGTTCCCTAAACAATGCCGTTTAGTGTCATTAATTAGTTGGCTTAGGCAGCGTTCAGACTTCGCGACGGCAGCGCTTCGGTCGCGCGTTCGACGCGATCGATGCAGTTAAAGCATGCGCATCGATCGCGCCAAGGCGCGACCGGGGCGCTGCCGTCGCGAAGTCTGAACGCTGCCTTACGTCGCTCTAGCGCATAAATCTTGCACGTGGATGTGTTTTGTGAAACTCGCTTAGAATCGCCAGTTGCTACCAGCGTCTTTAACAGGGGGCGCACTTTTGCAGTGGTCCCCATGTTTGCTGTACGTTTAAATCAAATACTGCTACAGTCATTAGTCCCTCTCTCTCTGGTGATTTTCCTGTTTCATGCGTACTACATGCCCCCCCCACCGCTCGACAGCAAAATTTTGAGCAAAATTTTTGGTAAAAATTAGGGAAGTTTTTGGGGAATTTCAGGAAAAAAGGGCAGGAAGTCGGAGAAAATCTGAGAATTGGTAGAAGGGGGGGGGTCGTATTGTTCTCGCCACTTTTCCTGTTTCACATGTGCTATTTACCCCCCCCCGCGCTCGACGGCTCGATTCGATGAGGAGGATAGAGGGGGGGGTCGTACAGACTCGACTAAAATCCCCAACCAATGATGTGCCCTGTCTCAAAGTCCAAATCTCCCTCAAATAGAAACCGATCTCGTGCGCATAATCGTATGCCCATTTTTGGAGCTCATTCGAAACAGTCCCACATTACTATTCACATACCTTTTCCAATATAGTACAAGCGAGTGGTGGTACAGACTTCAGCCTTTTCATTTTTGTACGATCACATCCGAGAAGTTGTTGCAGTATCGTTTCGTAAGCTGTAGGTCCTACGACTATGATCAGATTCCCACCAATGTTTCTTTGTACACTGTAAACCCTATTTTAGTAGTCGGTAGATGATAGGAGGAAACTGAAAGAACTTACTGATCAATTCCACCAACAACGCGACCAAGGCTGTCGTCAACATTTTCTTTACTTCTGATCGCTTGCATTATTCTGGCCGATACATCCATCTTCATCAGTTCCATGGCAGTCATGAAGTCCATCTGAAACATCCGGAAATCTGACCTATTCTCTCCTAAGAGGCAAATCCTTTATCGCAACAATGCTGGTTATGGGTCTACAAGCTAGACTTAATACCTACCGATCTATGAGAGAGGTCACAAAGAGTTTCATCAACTGATATAAAAGTTTTGTCACCTAAAACAATGCCGCTACATTGGAACTGAACTTTTTCGTTTGCTTATTATGCGAATGAAGAAAAACGAAAACGAGGAAAACACTCTACCTATTGTTGAAAGTGCTATAGCAGAGCCTGTCTGCACAGAGGCCAATTCTGGTGCTGTTATCACACTCTCCCATTTTATTTTTTCAGATGCTAAAGCTTTTCCGAGTATCTTTGAAGCGTGTTCAGCTAACTGTAACAGCGTGTGACTCATTCAATCAACTGAACTTAAAGGTACGGTACGCGACCGGGTATAGAAGTTGAAAATATGGTGTCGGGAGGGTAATGTGGTCGTGACGAACAACCTTGTACCGGTTTCGCGGCAAAAAATTGTAAGGGAGGGGCGCTATAGCGCAATATAGGTTCAGTGACGCCTCCTTTTTTCCAGTGACTCCGCCTCCAGACTCCGCCCCAAGGCCCACCTTTCAGTGAAAAACGACACGAAAACGCAGTACGAAAAAGCATGAAAATTGTCACTTGAACGGTCGTAGAGTTCTTATCGGGGAATCAGGTGTGCGGATGAAGGCGTAATGTTGAAGATGCACGTACAAACTGGTTTCTATTTAAGGTAGTCTGCACATTTTTCTTCTGCTTTTTTCTTCGCTACTGAATTACTCACAACTTAATCATCTATAAGCAAACTCCTGATCCACTATCAGTGATGGCAAATGAGTGCGGGCTTTGCTTTTAAAAAACAGTTCCCACGACCAAGTCGTCCGCGAATTGCCTCCGTGCATATGGTTGGTATCGTTGTCCCCATTCGCATAAATACAGAGAATAAATCTTTCGTCACGGCGAGTTCGAAACGGCGAGAAAAAGAAGTTGGAGACGCGTGATTATTGCAACCACGATTACTTTCACACGGCAAGACAACGGCTTACAAGCGGAATTGCGTGTGCACATAGTGTTGCCTGGAGCGTCGTATGATGATTTCCTTTGTTGCCAGGAATTGGTTGCACGTCGAATTCTGCTGATTGGGCTAGCAGGTATCCGACAAACTCTCCAAGCGCGCCGATCCCATTGCTAACAACAATAGGGTTTCTGTTCAGAGCGCTCCTGAGGCTCCTTTTTCGCCCTTTTTCTACTGGTGAAGTTACTTATGGGCTGATTTATGGCTGAGCACCTATACTCGTAAAACTCGATCAAGTGTTGCGTGTAGTTGGGCTTTGTCATGAACCGGTATCCCATAGCTAGCTTCTCAGAAGTAAAAGAAGCGGAAAAAACCTTGGGAACACCTTGAATACAGGACGTAACTCCAGGCACTTGACGAAGGTACGTCGGCGGAAAGGGCGCGCGCTCTAGCTATGGCGCAACAGCTTGAGCGTGCGGACCGTGGCGCTAGTGAAAGTACAGAAGCTCCGAACAAACACACTGACCTGCTCTTCATTTCTATCCTTCTCTTCCCCATGAGTACCGCCGTAAAACGAACACCTGCGCTTTCAAAGCATGTCCTTCCCATCGCTTGCAGAGAATGAAGTTCGAAAAAGTTTTGCTGCTCTTTTGTTTACAACCTCCTAATGGAATTGCGCTTGCAAACCATCTTGAACCCTAAAACAACCATCTAGTTGTGCTTTCAATTCATGTCCAATCGGTGCGGATGCGCTGAATCGCCTATAAAATTCCTAGAGGATCACCGGAAGATGGCAAAGTGCCAGAAGGACAGCGCGCCAACTCACGCGCCGCGCGGCGCTGTTTAAAGGCACGATATGCATATAAAAAAAAAAAGCGTCGCCGGACTCGATCTTCGCCTTGTCCACCTACCGTCTCCTGTTGAACCTAGCGAACCTAGCCTTGTCGAAATCGGCTGTTTACACTTTCTTTACATCGCGCTGCTTATTGAGGGGATGAAAGATGGCATCTATCCGTTCATCAAGGCGTAGAGGGTTCCAAAAGGCGCGAAGTCATTTTGAAGACCACTTGATCGCGGGGAGTGTCTTTAATCAGTAGCAGCATGCTGACCTCTCCGCGGCTACGCCTGGGGCCGAAGTGTACTAGCTATTCACAGTTCAACGGCTACCAGTTAATTTACGTTGCTGAATGATAAGCCCTACACAACGCAAAATTTTCTTTCGACCTAGATTTTCCAAAGAAGGTTTTTTAGACGCGCACGGTACCACATCACCGTTGCGATACCAGTTGTTGAGCGCGCAAGAGAGTAATTCGGCTTAGGCGGCGCCCGCCGCCAAAACCCAGTTCCTCTTGACACATCTCCAGCAAGCGAACACTGTATCTTGTAATCAAAACTTTCTAGTAGACGCTAGTCCACACTATAGTCGACACGTCAACGCAACGTAAAAAAGCGCACAACCCTCAAAGGTCTCCTGCGACATACAAAAACACTTACTTAAGCGATTCGTGAGTACATAACATTTTTCAGTGATATAACGAAAATAGCACAACTAATAGGCCACAGTATCTCACCAGCGTAGCTCTCCCAGATGAGCGATTTCCTTAGCGAGTCAGACGTGCATTAACACATAGTATATTAGAAAGGTAAAGCTGTCACACCGTCTCTAACAATAGCAAATCTCGCGGCGAGAATGCGCTTCGTATAAGACTGTCATATGAGATGGGATCCATTGAGAGACCTTCATTGGGATGATTTTCTATGAAATCCAGATCTTTCAAGGTTGGGGAAGCCTGGAAAGATTATAATTATTACAAATCTGGAGAATTTAAATCATAGAAAGTCTTGCACTTACCTTTGCCCGTTCAGTGTTATCGATGCCTAAAACGTTTTGTAAGTTGCCCTTTGAGATCATGATTTCTGCATCGCCCATAGTTACATTTTGTGGTAAGCCCACAATTATTCATTTACTACATAAGCCGCAAGTATTCTTCCCAAACTCTGAACAACATTGCTTTTACTTTTCAGGAAAAATATCAGTGTGAAATACGGAGAAAACGAAAGACCGTACAATGCGGACTCTCATGTCAAAGCAAAGCAAAAAATGCACAGAAAGACAAAAGAGCAAAGCGACCACAACTGGTCGTCTGCATTTAGGACCCTCAAGCCTCAAACAATTGTACGGGTAAAAGACCAAAAGACTGCGTGCTGGGACGAGTTCAAAAGGCTGATTCTTTTGTAATGAATGCTCCACTCTCACTCCGCGAAACTGGCACAAAGTTGTCGACTGCGGACCGTACTACATTTCCCATAGTCTTTTGCATTTTCATAGGTCATCGCAGACCGCTCCTTTAATCAAAAGATCAGGTGAACAATGTACCCGCGTTATTGGAGGATCAATCTTGTAAACATCAAAGCCTTTCGATCTCACTGGCAGCCGAACGGGATGATTAAGATCTTTGGCGTTGTAATGATCTTTGTTAACACATTCGTCGTACCAGCAGGGGAAAGCCTTAACAGAATGTTTAATGTGTTTAATTGAATTAAGGGTAATTTGGAAACTTCATTCCGAGCTCTAGTCGTCAAGGTTATGTGTATACTGTTCTACAGCTTTCCTCTTGGTGCCTCGACCTAGCTTCCTTTCTTAGCAAGTCGTGAAAAAGGAAACAATTGTTCATACGGCAATGCTTTTCAAACTTCTTGTCTTCATCGAAGGCTAAGTACACAACACTGTTTGAAGCCTTCTCAGCCTTTTCGTTGAAACGCGTATGCGACAAAAAGTGATAGAAAACGAGTAACACGAAGGATATAATACAGTAATGTCACTTCCTGGTTCAACGATTGGTGCAGTACGGGTGCGGGCGACCGCGCCGCACGCAGCCGCACTGACATTGACTATCAAGTGCAAGGATGACGACTGTACACAGCTCACCCCACGAAACGGTTTATTTATTCATTTATTTATTTATTTATGGTCAATCGAGCGCCAGGTCAGTACATAACGGTCCAACGGAGATTAATAACTGAACTCAGTGATTTCTAGAATCAAAACACAAAGGAATTGATAGAAAACAAAAAATTCAAGTGAAAAAAAAAATGGAAAAAAAAGAAGGGCAACAAAAAAAAGAATAAAGGAAAAGCGAAAGGGAACAACAAAAAAGAGTTTAAAAAAAAGCAACGAAGTAAAAAGGAAACAGAAAAAGAAATAAAAATAGACACACGAAAAGGAAAGCGCGAGGAGGAACTACCATGTGACCAAAAACATTCATGCCTTGGAAATCTATGTAAGAGAGATGCACTAGAAGTAGAGGAGAGTCAAAGAGACGAAACTCAGACAGATGGGCTACAGCGCCTCGGTTGTTGCTATGTGTGGTGCGGATAGGTTCGCAGCTGCATTAGCGTGCCAGTTCCGCTCGAAAGTGCACGGGAATGGGGCTCTATGATAATGGTACGCGACTGCCCTCTCCATACTCCGCTGCGCTATACTCAAGGTGCAGCATCTGCGTCCATAACAGAGTCGAGCAGCAGCCAGGTCACATCATTGGTTGGGGATTTTAGTCGAGTCTGTACGACCCCCTCCCCCTTTTTTAGGATTGGTATCGAACCCCCTCGCCCCATCCCGCTCCGGCCCTCTGTTCTTCCGAATGCGAGCCCTCCAGCGGCGGCGGGGGAGTTGAGGGGGTGGGGGGGGGGTAAATAAGCACGCTGTGAAAGCAGGAAAAGTCGCGAGACATACGAGCCCCCTCCTCCCAACAAACCAAGTGCGACCCCCTTTACAACGTCCGTGAAGCGAGAAAAATCAACTATCAAAATAAATTTTTCTCAGCCCAAATACGACCCCCCCCCCCTATTGGGGATTCCCCAACAACGATGTGCCCTGGCAGCGGCATCCGGGCGCCACTACCCTCCGGCCTCGATCTCGCGCACTTTCGACCGAGACGAGTGGCATGCTACTGCAGCTTTGACCCATTCTTCACACATAGGGCGAGAATCAGAGTTCACGGAAGCGAGTGTACAGTTTGGTTTTAATGTCGTGAACATGGTTTGACATTCTTAGCTGCGAAATTGCTCTTTATCCTGGTTCAGCATTGCGTAAGAAACCCCGTAGTGACAACCCTAAACTCACAGGAGATACCACTAATGGTGCGGAGCATGAGCTCACCCTGAGAGAATTTCTTTCGCATGGCGATTGACCATGAGTACAGTACCTTTCCTTCAACTGTTAAGGAGCTTTGCCGATGGAGACGACTCTGGTGGACATCTTCATGCTGCGCAGACCTTCCCTTTGCTGGTTTACTTACCTTCATTGTTAACACCACTGGTCGTGTTTAGCGAAACTGTTCCACTCATGAAGAGGGGAAGCCTCT